GGGAGTTGAAGTCCACAAGTCTTAAAGTTGCCACAAGTTTGGGGACCACTGCTGTAGAGCTTCGTGTGCACATCGGGCTCTTCAAACTTTTGCATAACTTCTGCAAACTTCTGTGTGGGGTGTGTGTGTGTGTGTTCCTAGCAGGCAGAGGGTGGTGCAAAAAACAACAACACAAAACACTACGTTTTCTCAAAGGCAGCCACTTTTCTATCGCTAGAGCTTTGCCTCTTGCTCCAGGGCTCCTTGAATTTTTCTTCAGCTGTCTTGTGGGTTCAACTTGTCAAAGTTTGAAAACTGCTGGTGTACACAGGGGATCCATGCTACAAGTATCACCCTTTATTAAAACAGTGCAGAGTATAAGAGAAAAACCATCCCCTCCCCCGCTTTTTAATGCCCAAAGATCTTCCTGAATGCAGGCGATTAATCTCACCCCTGGACAGGAGTGTGTGTTCTGTCTTGCATATGGGAAACCCAGTTCAGGCTGCAGAACGGAAGGGAGAAAACAGCTTTCTGCCTTTCCGGTCCAGAGGTTAATTCTGAAAGGAGGAAGCGGCAGCAGCCAGCTCTGGCGTGGGTGGAGGGAGGGGGGGGGCTTGCAAAGGCGTGCAGTAGGAAGCAGGGCTGCTGGTGGCTGCTTTGCCCATTTACGGCTCTTGTATCTCGATTGCCACCCTTTGGCCTTCCTTACCAGGTTGGTGCTCAGTCACTGCCTCCCTTTCTGATGCCCCAGAGGTGAAGATGGATTATTGAGCTAGTTAACTTTTTATCTTTGGATAGAATAGAATTCTTTTATTGGCCAAGTGTGATTGGACACACAAGGAATTTGTCTTGGTGCAAATGATCTCAGTGTACATAAAAAGAAAAGAGACATTCGTCAAGAGTCAAGAATCATCAGGTACAACACTTAATAACAGTCATAGGGTACAATAAGCAATCGAATCACACTAGGAAACAGTCAATGTAGATCGTAAGGATATAAGCGATAAAGTTGCAGTCATACAGTCACAAATGGGAGGGGATGGGTGATAAGGAGGGATGAGAGGATTAATAGTAATAGTAGTGCAGACTTTGTAAATAGTTGGACAGTGTTGAGGGAATTATTTGTTTAGCAGAGTGATGACATTTGGGAAAAAACTGTTCTTGTGTCTAGTTGTTCTGGTGTGCAGTGCTCTATAGCAGATGTTTTTTCTCCATGAGAAAATTTTGGTGGTCCATAGAGAAATGTCATCCCCAAAGCACCCCCCAAAGCAATTAATCCAGGCTGTGTGGGAACACAAGGTTGCGCTGCCCACATGGCCTGTGGGAACACAAGGCTTGCGTCCCTTGCATTGTGAACAACACGAGGTGGTGAGGGCGGAAAGGGTGGAGGGGGGGAACTTGCCCCACTCGCCCCACGTGCCTGGCCTGGCCACCAGGGCTGCTTCTTTCCTCTTCTTCTTCTGCTTTTGGCTGCACACAAGGAAACCAGAAATGAGTCTTTGGGACCCTGCAAGGCCTCCTGCTCCAAGAGGCTGCGTTGGCACGTCAAGTCTCAGACTCATTTCTGGCAGAGTTTGGGGGAGAGAAAGAAAGACTTCTGCTGCTTTCCTTGCATGAAGCCAAAAGTCTCTCTCCCCGAGAATGGAGCTGGAGACGGTATCCTGTGATCCCAAATAAAGAATGATTGATTGGTAGGAAAACGGGGTGGGGGATTTTCCTGCAGACTTTTTTTGGGATTTTCCCAGGGTCTCTGGTCCGCGGAATTTAAAATTATGAGTTTGGTGGTCCCTGAGGTCCAAAAGGTTGGTGATCCCTGAGGTCCAAAGGTTTGCGACCCCTGCTGTATAGCGTAGTTTTGAGGGTAGGAGTTGAAACATTTTATGTCCAGTATGTGAGGGGTCTGTAGTTAGTTCTGAACAGTGCTCGTTCATCTTTTATTTATTTTTTTAGTCAATTTATATGGCTGCCCATATAAAAGTAGATCAGATCAGGGAATCAATTCCTCCAGGAGGAAGGCTGCAACTCCTCCTGTTATTGAGATTGGCTCTAATATCAGGATCTTGCAAATCTAATTGTGCTGTTCCTCCTCCTGTGAATCAGAGGCTGCTTCCATATGTTATCTCCTTACTCTGGACTTAAAAATGCTGTTGGCTCCTTTTGCATAGGTAACATTTCTATGCATATTTCTGTCCAGGTCATTATCCTTACTCTGTATTTCATGCCACATCGCGCCCATGTAGCCCCTTTGTCACCAGAAGGCTTCTGGGTGTAATTCAAGATGCTGGCTATCATCTGTGAAAGCCCTGCACGAGGTCCACCTCTACAAAGGTGGTTTTTGCCCAAACAGATAAGATCTGGCAGTCATCTCTTCTGGTCCTGTCAATCAAGCAGTTCCATCTGGTAGGAGCAGCCCCTTCCTCTTTGGAACAGAATCAAATGTGCTTAGCGCCCCCACTTTACTGGTTTTAAAAGGGCATGGCCTCTTTCCAGTGAGCCAGGGTGTCCTCCGCAAGTTTAGGTTGAAAATGATGTTTTCTTATTGGTATTTTATCTGTAGTCAGTTTTTAGTCTACTTGTTCAAAGCTGGTGCAGACTTTGGTGCAGAGGTGGTATCCAAGCAGGTTCTGACTAGTTCTGGAGAACCGGTAGTGGAAATTTTGAGTAGTTCGGAGAACTAGCCAATACCACCTCTGACTGGCCCCGCCCCCATCTATTCTCCGCCTCCCGAGTCTCGGCTGATTGGCCGGGTCTTCTTTGGTTGCCCTGCACAGGAGAACGGAGCTGGAAAGCAGGCTAACGGGGTGGGAAGGGAAGGGAGATTTTGCAGTAACCTTCCCCTGCCATGCCCACCAAGCTACGCCATGCCACGCCCACCAAGCCGTGCCTACAGAACTGGTAGTAAAAAAAATTTGAATCCCACCATTGGTTGGGTGGCTTTGCAAGTTTAATAAAATTAAACTACTTTTAGGTAAGTTACTACAGAGAAAACTAATTAGCTCTGGAAGTGGCCACCAGGACTTCCTGTTGGGTGAAATTATTTCCTTGGAGGCATTTATTTATGTCGATGTCAAAAGGCTGAGCACCAGAATATGGATCAGGAGCAACCATATCTGCACAAAGAAAACCTGGTAGGATGGAGAAGATGGTTGGTTGATATGGTACTTCTGAATTCAACCACCTTAAGGAAGATCAGGAAAGAAAGCTGTGGGGTGTTAAGATGACAAGTAAGCAGGAACCTTCCAATGTGGCAGGTGATCCCCAGATTACCTTTAAATATGCATCAAACCCTCAGACTAACTTAGCCATCTCCAGTGTTCTGGGAATAGAAAGGCAGTTTAAAACAGAGAGAGAAGCAGGCAGAAAGGCTCTGGGGCTGGGCGATATTGAGTTGTAGCACAACATCTGAAATGGTTAATCTCCGAGGTCACAGATTATGTCCCAAATGTGGCTGTATTTAATCTCTAATAAATACTACCGCTCTAAATGACGATCCTGCACCCACTCGTGCTAGATAGCTTCGGACATGACCCTCAGTGACATCCCGGACTGTTTACAAAATAGAGGAGCTGCTGAACTGATTGGAAACTGATCACAGTGACCACAAACGTAAGACATAAGTAAGCCAAGCCACTTACAAAATAGTCCTCGCTTGATTTGAAGAGCACCTTCTCTAGAAGGAAGGGAAGGAAGGGATAAAGGGAAGGTTGGGAGGACCTCATGATGTCTCAGGGATGGTTCCTCTGCTGTCCATAGTCAAGCCCCTGCCTTGGCTGCAAGCTTTTCTCCTCCTCAGAAGTAGAAAGCCGAGTATTCATGATTTATCTCAACTCCTGGTTGATGGATGATCTCATCCAGAGGCTTTGTGTAGATGTTAAACAGGGGAGGAAAGAGCCCTGAGCCCTGTGAATGGTTGAGGGCTGGATCTCTAACTCCTTATCGATTGGGATCGATCTTGGAGAAAGGAGCTGAATTAGTGGCAGCCCCAAGTCACCCCAAAGGATGTTGTGGTCGCTGAAGGCGGCTGAGAGGTCAAGGAGAGTGAGAATGGTTGCAGTGCCCCCTTCGCACTCCTGCCAAAGATTGGTCAAGATAGGTAGGTAGGTATAGATGATAGATAGATAAGATAGAAATAATTCTTTATTGGCCAAGTGTGATTGGACACACAAGGAATTTGTCTTGGTGCAAATGCTCTCAGTGTACATAAAAGAAAAGATACATTTGTCAAGAGCCAAGAATCATCAGGTACAACACTTAATGGTAGTCAGAGGGTACAAATAAGCAATGAAATCATACTAGGAAACAGTCAATATAAATCGTAAGGATACAAGCGACAAAGTTACAGTCATACAGTCACAAGTGGGAGGGGATGGGTGATGAGGAGTGATGAAAAGATTAGTAATGCAGACTTTGTAAATAGTTGGACAGTGTTGAAGGAATTATTTGTTTAGCAGAGTGGTGGCGTTTGGGAAAAAACTGTCCTTGTGTCTAGTTGTTCTGGTGTGCAGTGCTCTATATAGCATCATTTTGAGGGTAGGAGTTGAAACAGTTTATGTCTGGGATGTGAGGGCCACCGAGGCTGTGTCTGTCCCATCGTCAGGCCTGATTCCGGACTGAAAGGAGTCCAGGAAATCTGTTTCATCCAGGACCTCCTTTCCCCCTTTTTTTCTCCCCCCCCCCCCCCCCCGTTCTTGATCTGCTGTCACAGCCTGTCTCTCTTTGCAGCGGTGGAAGTCCCAGTGGTTTGTCCTGTACCCAGCAAGTCTTCACGGAGTTGCCCGTTTGGAGTTCTTTGACTGCAAGGAGGGGGCCACCCCAGTGGACCGGATCAGTACCAAGAAGCTGGACAAGAAGATTGTGCGGCTGGCAGATTGCGTGAGTGTGGCTCCTGCCTTGGACTGCAGCCCCAAGGAGGGCTTGGCCGCCTTCTGCCTGGAGACCAACAGCCGCACCTACGTCTTCGCCACTGAGCCACAGGAGGCAGCTGACTGGGTGGCGAAGCTCTGTGAGGCAGCCTTCCTGGTGAGCGGGACTGGCGGGCCGGGGGTGGCCCAAGGGGGCGGTAGCTAAAGCAAAGGTAGAGCTAAGAATAGGAATAGGACTAGGAATAGGATAGGATAGGATAGGATAGAATAGAATAGAATAGAATAGAATAGAATAGAATAGAATAGAAT